GTGGTGATTATTTTCTGTATGGTGCATTTAAATTATTAAGTTATTAAGAAAACATTTTATCTCTTCTCCTAATTGATTAGGAGTACCTTACATTTTTTTAAATTACATTTTATTAGGAGTATATTAAGAATAAGCAATACTCGTTCAATTCTCACGATACTTTTTTTCTATCGTAAAAACATACAAATAAAAACATTTGAAGACATGTTTTGTTTTAAATTATGCGCTAAACCTTTTCCTACAAATACAAATGTGGTGAAAGATAATAAACTTTTGATATCAAAATAGAAAATGCTGTGGTTTGAAGTAACTCAAATAATGTTCACAACAAATAAGACTGCTAAGTTTGCATGCATTGTGTAAACACCATCAATGTTGTTCTTGCAATATTTTATTAGAGGTAGTAATTTTTATATCTCCTCTTACGAGGATCATTTGGGGCCAAGAACCTGAAGCCTGTTAATGCTGTAATCTCTCCTTAAACACACACATATTCAAATGCACAAACAACAGCACATGAATGCCGTACAGTTTCTCTGAAGTATCTCAACCATATGGCACACTGAATACTTAACCTTTGACCTGCAAGATGAAGAACAGGCAAAAACGTCCGTGAAAGTGGGTTAATCTGCTCTTGATTCTGTTGTTCAATGGAGTCTAAACATCATGATTTTTGTGGTTTAAGTCTTCATGCAGTTCAGGCATGATTAAAGTGGTGAAGGTAAAAGACTTAAAGATACTCACCCCATGTGATGGGTAGGAAATCCATCCTAGCTCCCCTTGGCTTGCTTTAGAGTCTAACAGGTTAACTGTGGTAGGAGAGAAAAGGAAAAACAGACAGCATATGAGTGACCAGTTCTTGTTAGCCCCAATTAGCCTTCATTTAATCCCAAAGGAGAAATCTCCAACCTCAAGGACTGATTATTTACTCAGCTGCCACACACTCCGACTCACACGATGGCATTAAATGACTCCATGGCGAACTTTGTGAAGACAGTGATTCACATAAAGACTCTCTGTTCCTGTTTTAAACCTTTATTAATTATCAGGTTCCTCACCTGGCCTGTAGCTTAACACTACAGTCAGACCTAAACTATTTTATATTTTAACAATGTAAAATAGTTTGGATTGTTCATTATAATGCATACGGAGCAACATCCTTGTTGCTGCTCCTTACGCAATACAGCAGCTTGTAAAAGTGTTCATACCTGTTAAACTATTTCTGCTTTCTGACATGTCGCCAAAAATCACAAGCTTTAAAGTATTTTATTTTATGTAAGTGGCCAATACATGTGAAGTGGAAAGCTTTCAAAAATACCTTACAAATCTCATGCTCCTAAATAAAGTATAACAGTGGTGAGAAGAAAGTCATCGCTGAACGTGAACGATAAGTCATGTTATGTTGTTGAGAGAGTATGATGCTGTTGAATATATATATTTTTTTCAGTAGCAAGAGGCTGTTTGAACAGAGTTGACTTAAGTCATACATCTCTGAGCATAAGACTTTGAAAATTCAGCATCACTACTCAGATATGCTTCTGTCTCAATGGAGTTTAAGCCAATGAATATGTTCCACAACTAAAATAACCCTCCTTTTTCCATTTAAGGCAAATGCTGCATTTTAGTTTGTATTAGCTGAATATGTTTCCTCAACTGTGAAAGAGGTTTATATTGCCTGGAAAACTACAAACACCCTGCATAAGACACAGACGAACACAGAAAGCGTATCTTTCCTTGCAGGTATTTTGAATACGGCCAGGATTTAAAGAAGCCAGGAGACAAGCTTAGTTTCAAAGAGTCGTGCTTTTGACCCATTCAAGCACCGGCCTACCTTGCTGCACACTCATTCATGGCAACTGAAGTGTAACCAGGTAAAGCAAAAGTGCTTCAAATCAAAATTTAAATGCAATCACCACTTTCAGAGGTAGTCCAAAATTCCATTGGCCACACTATGACCAAAATATGAATCCATTTAGAAAGAATGGAAATGTGGCCTCCATATGTGTGTGTGTGTGTGTGTGTGTGTGTGTGTGTGTGTGTGTGTGTGTGTGTGTGCTCAAGAAGCCACTGTCAAGAAGCCGCTCTTTTTTCAAACAGGCATTCAACAGCAGATAGAGTTAATCCATGTCTAATAGAGGAAATATGACATGGGACAAATAAGACAAGGAGCTCAGTGGTGCTATGATGCAAGCTGGGAGACTGGAAAACAGTTTTCTGTGGTGAGCTGAAGTCATACCCTTGTCAGTGAAGCAGAGAAGCAGAGTTTTATTTTATTTTATTTTATTTTTAATTCTGCAGTGCTGATAGAAATTCTATGACCAGCAGTGCAGGTAAATAGTGCTATAGGAAAGTGTCGTTCCTGCTGAGCTCTGAGTTGAATTGGAGCATTTTTCTGCTGCTGTATTCTCGCAGAGTGAAAGATTGCTATTGAAGCAGGCTGTCAGTACGGATCACGCAGAAAAAAAGAATAGTGAGACAGCTTATTTGCTTAACAGAAACCTGACTTCAGCAGGCAAACTGTCACAACCAGAAACACAAACTTGAGATGCAAATCAAACATCCAAGTGTTGGACCTCCAGTCATGAAGGAATATTAATCCCACAATGCACTGCATCAACCCACTGTGAGATTGAACAGGAAGAGGAGGAGTTTCAGGAAAGAAACTGTGCGGTCGAGGTCTATGGTACACCTTTGTAAAGGTCTTTGATAAACAATCTCTCTCTTCTGCCATCTGAAAGCCCCCCTCATTTCTTCTACAGGCAGAGAGAAGGGCCACTCCAGAAACCGCAGGAGCTCTGAATCCAAAACTATGCAGGTGACTATATTGGCCCAACCAAAAGACTAAGTCCTTGTTTCATTCAAAAATCTGCAGAAAGAACCTTGTCCAGTTGTTTCCAGTTCTCCTAAATTGCCATTGATAGCCCAATGCTGGCTGGCTCCTCCAAGAGAGAGAAGAGGAAACAGTCATTTCAGCTCCACTCCAGAGCTCAGGATCACGTCTATGCTGAGTTTGATGCAAAATAAAAACTCATTTTGTACGGATTCTTTACACAAAGAATGTGTGTAATGAATCCGTTGCCAGGCGAAAGCCACAGATCACCGTTTGATCCTGCTTTACCATTGCCGGAGAGCCATGCCAGTCTGATGCTGAGCTGAAAACGTCATGTTGTGAGTCGGTAGTACAACATGCTGCAGCTGCTGGCCGACATTTTTCAACATTCATTTCAAAAAAGTTTCCTCATTTGTTCAGAAGCACAACTGAGCACCTCATTTGAATCTGCAAGTGACATGCAGAAGGCAGAACTCTAAGCTGTGACTCAGTTTGCCATTTTTTGTTTGAGAAAATGCTCATTATTTTAATGTTTTTATTCGTGAGCTAAAAGACTTTCCAAAACAGTTTTTTTTTTTTCTTCCAAAGCCACAAAAGATCACAAAGCAAAGCATAATGAATCCCTGAAAGGTTACTCTTGCAACAAAACTGACTCATCTCTATAGTTCATTTCCTTCCAAAAGCAAAGTGATTTAGATTCGAGCACGTACAAACAAGTAACTTGCACACACCCATCGCAGAGTGAAGCAGCAGCGCAACTAGACCCTACAGCTGTGACCTCAAGCACTGCAAACGCATACTCCCTGGATTCTCCTGGTCAAACTAGCATTCCGAATCCAGTGACGAGTCTTTTCCAAATGTCATCCCAGGATACCTGGCAACAATCTAACATGGACTAATATAACAATTTTCTTGGTAAATATCAGCAGATGTGGCAACAAAAGAGTTCAGAAAGGAAGAGGCACACAGAGACTTATAATCTACTTCTGGGCTTTCAAAGCTACTAAGTCGAGCCACAGCAATGCAGCAGCACTCAGGCAGTTGAGTGGCAGAATACACATTACTATTAGAGTCTAATGAAGCTATCTGTTCATGTCAGATAATAGCAGCTCCGCATCCAGGCCCATTGCTTCCAATTTACATTTCTCAACAAGCCAAGCCCACATCTCAAATTGAGCTGAGCGAAGGAATTTGAGTGCAGAAAATTAGACAGCTCTCATATCGTAGGAAGGGAAAAAAAGGGCCCTTCAGCTGCACTTGGCTTGAGGAATCAGCACCGATGCATATACAAATAAACAGAAATAAATTTAAGGAAACAGTGGGAATACACAAATAGAGATGCACTGATACCGGCTACAAAAGTACAATAAAAATACAAATAAATAGATGAAACGATGCGCTCAGCTGCATCGTTGTTGTGTTATTGTGGGTGTGTCCTTTGTTGCCGTGTCAGCCAGTTAGACTCTGTTCAACAAAGATGAATGAAAGTGAGATATTTCTCATGTTGTTTGATTTACTTCAATGTCTGAGTCAAATAACAAAATTGAAAGGATTTAAATATTAATATATATTTCATGAGGTTAATTTGAATGGAAACGCTCATATTTTATATATTTTTCTCACTCAGAAATCTGTATTTGAAGCTCTTTTCTGGTAACCCAAATCTTGCTGGAAATAATATAAGCACTCGCTACTCGTCCGCCTCCATGAGGGGTGGCATGGGGGGCAATCAACTTATGGCTCTGATGTGATGTTATGGAAGCCCAGGTTGTTTTAATAGTGGCTTTCAACTCCTCTCAACTCCTCTGTATTGCTGGTTCTGGTATCGCTTATCGTCGCCTTCACAAAACTTAACAGACTATGGGTTTAGGTGAAGTTCATTCGGGTTTTCTGGCCATTCAAATAAAGCTATACCGTAGTTATTTCTGCAGGTGTCCGAACTTTGGTGGTGCCATCACTTGTCAAGTCCTTTTTTAAAAATAAATATCTGAAATCATAGTTTGTCACGAAATGCTTCAAAATGTTCTAGTTGGTAGCTGAGCTTACTTTGGACTTAATACAAAACAATGAATCGACAAAGCAGATTATGTTCCTCCACAAATAATTATTAACTCCACAGCTCTTCATTTGGTGTGCTTAAAATCGTTTTAAGAGTGTGGTTATCCCAGTCCCTTGTGCACATTTTTCTACTCCACTTCTTTCTTCCATTTAACTTTTTATTGATGTGTTTTGGTGCAGCTACCTGTGATTCTTTAGGACTAACTCTCCAGTCAGTGGTTTTCTGTGTAGGCCAGAGTTTCTTTTTTTTTTTTTTTTAATGTGTCATTATTATTTATCTTATATGCTATTGCTGTTTTCCTAATAAACAGGATTTTGGGGGTTCATCACATTTGAGCTATTGTCAAATTTAAACACACCACTGTGTTTAACACGTCAAACACATGAGTTTCACTGCCTGAATTTGGTAATAAACGTAACATTGAGAAATATTCAAATAGACCAAAATGTACATGTAAATATGTGTGTATATTGTTACAATTGGCAATCAGGTACCAGATAAAGTTCAGTTGTGCAGTTGTGCCCAGAGCTACATACATTTGCTACATATATGCATAAATTTCGTCAAGTTTTCTGCGATTTCTGCGCGTTGAACCCTCAAACTAACACAAAATAAAACTGTACATAAAGATTTGCTGACAGTCTTTACGCTCTCTCTCTCTCTCTCTTTCACACACACACACGGACCCACAGAGTCAGTTAGCAAGCTAACGTCAGCCAAGAATATGGCCCCTGCCCCATCAGGGAATGCTTCTAAACGGGAGTATTAATAGCAAACTCAGCCAGCCTGTCTGAGAGGGAGCAAAACATCAGAGGTGGAAACAGGTGAATCAATATATATACAGCAAACCAAGACCACCGTCTAAAAACCCACAATGTGTAAGCTGAACCTGACAAATGGAGGCGGTCAATGACACTAGA